GAAAGCTGCTGCTCTTTAAGATTTTTTTATGTTTACTTTGGTTGTCTGTTGTTTTCCTCTTGCTGTTGTTGTGTTCTCTGTTTTATTTTCCGCTCATCTCATACAGGTGTGGAAGCAGACTTCTAGGAGTTACTGTGTTGGCTGTTTTTTTCCTCTCTCTTCATGCACTCTTTCCTGTCTCTATCTGTCTTTCTCTCTCTTTTAGTTCTTATCCCCTCTTTCTTCTAACCTCCCTCTCTGTCTCCTTGTCTGTTTTATATGATTTTAACCCCCAAATTATTTTCAATAAAGTTTCATAAAATGCTTATAAAAGCCTTATAAATGGTGGCTTATAAAATGTGTCATAGCGCATCCTAGTGGAACTTACAGGTGCTGCAGAATTCTTGTCCAGAAGAAGCATATTTAGATTTTTGGCAACCACAGCTTCACTGATCATTTATCAAACACAGCACTGAATGTATCTGCATTTGTGGGGAAAAAGGACCATTCTGTTTTAGCTATAAGCTATTTTGCATTATGGCAAAAAATTATAATAATTCAGCTGTTTACTGACATTTTCTTTGTTTTGTTTTTTTGTCTACAAATATCATCTGAACTTATCATTCATATTTGTTTTACCTTAAACTGTTACTTAATGCAGACAAAACTGAGGATGTGTTGTTGATCTTTTTCAAACAGAAAATCCCAGCTAGTTTGTTTGTTGTTATAAATATCTAGATGTAGCCAAGGATGAAAATCTATCTGAAGTCAGTTATCAAAACTCTTATAAATAATAAAATACTGTATATATTTCTCCCAAGAACAGAGTAATTAGAGCTTCTAATTATAAACTTTTATTCAGTATTTTCTATGTTAATATCAGGCTGAAGGAAGAAGTATTTTCTTACAGTGTCACTTTCACTTGAAGCTATGCAGCCCGATGGAATCACATGGTTTTTAACATATTTTAGGACATTGGAGAGTGCACTTCTGAAAATTCCTCTTCTGTTTTTGTTTTTACTGGTTCTTATGTCCTGTTGTGTCTCTTCTTAGCAGCTATATGAATTGTAATAATACCTCATATTTTATTGATATCTGTATAAATAATAAGTGCATTGATCAGTAGTTTAAAACAGTATCTTACACATCTGTAAAAAGAACTGCAGGGGATGAGAAGAATCTTATGTTCGACAATGACTGGATATATAAATGTAAAATCAGGGTAATTAAAGGCAAACGATGTACTGTCATTGTCTGCTGCTTTATCTGGGCCAGGGTTGCAGGGATTGCATACTCACCACTTATCAACCACCTCCTCCAGCTCCGAAGCCTGAAGTGTTCCAAAGTCAGCCAAAGAGCAAAGTCCCTCCCCGTGTTGTGTACCTCCCACCTGTGGGAAGTGTCTAGAACTCCCCCTGAGGGAGGGGTCCGGGTGGCATCTTTAACAGATGCCAGAGTCACCTCAACTGCCTCCTCTTGATGTGGAGGAGCAGCATCTCTCCAAGCCTCCCCCAGTTGGATGAGCTCCTCCTTGTGGAGGGAACTGATTTCAGCTGCAGGCTCTTTACATCATGACCATACAGTAGCAGCCATTCAAAATGGCCCTTCCCAATCAAACGCCGGCCGAATGGCTGCCCACTTTCCTCCAACTCCCAGCAAAATCCCCTCCAACTTCCAGCAACTGGAGTGACCTCCTCTTGCATATTTTTTTTTACTCTGACTGCACCATTTCATTGAAATATGGTGTCTGACCAGGAAATCATGGTTCCTTTATATCCTAATGTCCACAAATCATTACAGAAAGAATATTTTAGTGAAAATATTGATGTTTATAAAGGAATTGTAGCGGACGACCCAAGGACCAGCCAAGGGCCCATCAAGGAAAGTGGGGAATCGCAGTCGTCTTTTCCACCTCATCCAGGATCCACAAAATAACGATAGCCGCAAAAATCCATCTGTCATTCTCCTGCTCATTTCTCCCCTCACTCACCCTGAGATACTTGAAGTCCTTCCTTTGTAGGAGGATCTCCTCTCTGACCCAGTGAGGGCAACTTAGACTTAAAGGGTTGGATCTTTCTCCTCGCCACTCTGCACAAGGCTGCCTGAGCACATTAGGGATCAGCAGAACCAGAAAACATCCCATGGTCCCCAAACCCCTACCAGCTCTTTTCTATACCTAGAAATCTTGTCGATGAAAGTTATGAGCAGGACTGCTGACAGAGGGCAGCCCTAGTGGAGTCCAACATGCAGCAAAACCCCCTTATCAATCTTAACGCCTGCAATGCGAATCAGACTCCTGCACCACATGTGGCCCCTAGTAATGAGGCCAACTGTACTCCTGTAGAACCCCCCCATAAGGAACCATAAGAGAAAAGGTTGAATACCATCTACAGATTCATAAAACAAATGTGGGGACTGCACATGAATAGGAGGCATGTTACACACATACACCAGGGGTGCCAATAAATGTGAATGACACTTCATTCACCAAATCATAGTCCCTATATCTATGCTCCAGATCACCAGGATCTGGAACATAGATATAACATGGTTATTGATGTTAAACAAAGACTAGTCATTCGTCGAATTTAAAATCACTTTATTTATGAAATTTCATTGCAATATCACTCAAGCTTAAAATGTCCCTAGTTGTTTTTTTCTCTTTTTTCTTTTTTAAACACAGTCAAACTGATTGATAAACATCACTGTTCAGTTCTAGGCACCTTTACTCCAGTAAAACTCCCCAAAAAGAGACATTTCACGTTATGTTCACCCTCCGATTCTTCTACCGTGGTGAGGTTAACGCCCCAAAGTACTGTAGGTACAGTTCTTAAACAGTGACACGTAACATCAGTAACCCAAGGTTTCTACTACATGTCTGGACTAAAACTCTTTATCACCAGTAACGGGTGATTCTTTATCACTGATGTGAATACAATTTAGAAAGGAAAGATTAGATTTTTTTTAGAAGTAACATAAATTATTTTAAAAGCCTCCTGTTGATAAAGAAGTTGTACTATAATAGTCATAAAAGCCTTTATAAAAATAGCTGGAATGTAACTGAAGGTTTTATACAACACTGGTTTCTAGTGGCATTCCTCTTCACAGGGTGATATTAGTCAATTGGAACACAGTTGTTAAAACATTTACAATGCTATACAGTGATACACTGCAGAGACAGAACCTGGAAAACATTTACTGTGGGTTATAAGACTAGATTCTGCTTTCATACATCGGTTTCCACAACATCAACCGGACTAACTGTTAAAGCTGAGAACTAAACCCTATTATTCTCCAGATTCCCTCATTTTCACATATTATGAATCCAGTTCATTTCTGGGGACATCCGATGACCTGATCCTACGGCACATCCCATTCTGTACCCTCTGCATGTCCATGGAGGGCATCTTCTCCATCGTGTTTCATTTTTTGGAAAGAAATTTCATTTTGTTTCCTAAAAAAGACAAAACACAAAAATAAAATAAAGTGTAATAGAGAGCAAAGTTTTTTTTTAAGAGAATGATGTTTGGTTATAACATTTGCTGATATGCTAAAGGAATAAAATAAATCTCACCGAGGCCTTTGAGGAATTTGTTCACTCCTCTTTGCTCGCTCCCAGGTAGTGAATCCAGGTACTCTTGAGCTCTAACCTCAAACAGACCTGGATAGAGATTATTAACTTAATAATTCAAAGTCAGATGTTAATCAGTTTCTTTAATTATAATAATCTTAGACAAAACATTCCAAACTAAATCTAATTCTATCATTTTTTTGGACGTGCGCTGCACTGTGAAATTCAAATGATCCGTGTGTTCACTTCCAACAGATACGTCCATGGTTGAACCAGCTCCTGTTGCAAGTAGAGCAGCAACAAGATGCCTCTACCAACATGTCTTCACATTTAAAGTTTCACCCTTTCTTATAATAAAAATTAGCTCCAGCTCAGGCAGTTTGGATAAAGAAAGTATGGGAACAACAACCTTCAACAAGTCTTTTCTCTGACTACTAATTGATTAGGGGAGCAGTGGCCTATTGGTTAGGGCATTGCACTTGGTTTCCAGAGGTTCTGAGTTCAAGCCCCACTCCCAAACACTGCCCCTCTGGGTCCCTGAGCAAGACCCACGCCGCTCCCCGGGTGCCGCACGTGGCAATGTGCAATAAAGTTGAATTCTATTAATTTTAGTACTTGACTTTGACGAGGCCATTCTAGCACATGACTATGCTTTGCCATAAATGTATCATCTGGAGCCCTGGTTGAATGTTTAATGCTGCTTCTCCTTTAAAGGTAAAAGCACCATTACTTTTCTTACTTCTATTGTAGCAGACAGGTCAGATTTGAGGAGCATTTCAGGGTAAGCTCTACATGGGCGTGCTATATTTACTAATATGGGAGGCATTTGACACCTACTGTATTTGCTACACTGGAATCTAATTATTGCTGACAGAGTGAATGAACCATAATAAAAATCAATGGATCATTTAATCAGCTTAGTATTTAGACTGATCACATATATACAAAGTATCTCTCCAAAGCTGTAATCATTAATCTCTATACCTTTGAGGCCCTGTCTGCGCAGCTCCCTCTCCTGGATGAAGCCGCTGAACATTTGGGTCTCCATGAAAACTTCCAGAAACCGCCTCAAGCTCTTGGAAGTGACCGCCTTCCGAAAGGCCTCTCGCTGAAACGACGAGGGGGGTGAGGGGCTCTGCAATGTGGGCGAGGAAGGAGACTCGTCCTCCCGTTCCGATCCGCCCATGAAAAGCGAGTAGTGACCCACCATCTCCACAAAGAAACGCACAAAGGCCTCTGAGACCACTGCACTGAGAGAGCTCGAGTCTGGAGGGGAACACAGAGAAAAATAAAAAATAAATAATTCGATTTTAAATGGGCTGCCCTAAAAAAACATAGCTGATTATTTCAGTAAAAAACAAAAACAACGGAAAATCCACTCTCTCCTAATCAGGAGCTCAAAATGTGCAATGACCAATATATATAATGTCTGGACTCTTAGTCTGACAAAAAGACACATTTCCTTTATATTTCTTTCTTTCAAGCATTAGGAGCTCTGGTAGATGGACAGATCAAAGTAACTACATATATTAATAGGTTATGTTTATCTGGAGTATAAGTTTACATATAAAGTGCTGTTAAAAAGTTTACACACACTACAGTGGCATGAACACATTAGTGTGGCCTTTTACTGAACTCTTCCATAATCAGTGTACAACAAATACTAAAAAACAAATCAATAAAATCAACAATCAAGCATTGGGTACTTCTATTGTTGGTCTTTTCTAATCCATTCAGGGTTAAAATTATATGTAAAGCTACACAATGTGAGTAAATTACACTTTTATTACATTGCTGAATATATCTGAGAAATTAGAAGAAAAATTAAAGATAATAATAATAAGGTCCTGGGAAAATTACGGCAGGATATTTATACACTCCACATCTGAAATCTCATGTATGGTTGGTTTACTTTAATAAAGCAGTCTTCTGGTGAATAATTTTTTACAGTGAAACAGAGATGAGGTCAAATCAATTTTAATCAATTTGTTTGTTTTTTCTATTGAGAATCATCTTGGTAATTTCACAACAGTCTTGACCATTATATTAACCTAATTCTCTACTTAACATAATTCTCTGATATAATTTTCTCACAGAGTGGTTGTAATAATTGAAGGAAAAAGAAGAGAGAAAAAGAAAACTCAATCCTTTAGAAAAGACAGAATCATAGTTTAACTTAAATGATTAATATATATAAATTAAGCCCGACTTTTATCTAGAACCAAATCTTTCAACATATTCTCATTATAAGTGTGTATGAAATCGTACGAAAAGTTATGCACACTATTTCGTACGTTTTGGACGTTTTTCCTCAAAAAACCACATCAGTGCGCATGCGCTGGCAGACAGAAAAAAAAAAAGCAGATCCGCGGACGGACGTAAAAATGGAAAAAAAAACAGTGCAATCATCACTTCTTCATGTCTCTAACTACGTTGCTTGCTGTTTTAT